AGCTCACACAGCTATCGAACAGTAAATCTTCAACACCTACCTAATTTTTCTTCAAAGACCATACTCTTCCAATAATTGCGGCTGTCAGTCAGAAAGGACAAAGTCCTATTCAATATGGCCACCTATGAGGTGGAGGACTGTCCTGCCTCAGTGACTGTATCCGGAGTCCAAGCCTATCAGATCAAAAGCCACTCAAATGGGCCCTGAGACCTGTGTGGACAGTGTCCCTAACACAAGCTGACCTCCCTAAGTGGTCAGTGAGACCTGCGTTTGGCAGAGAAGTACAACCTGCCTTTAGATTTTACGGTTAGACTTTACTATTAGTCATTATCAGAGCCTAGGTCATAGCAGACCCTCCACAACTGTCCGAAAAATAAACTAGGCATATATGAAACCCTTCTTTCTTCTGCATTTCCAGGAAAATCCCCCCAGAAGCAATGTCCACAAACTGCTCAACAAACCTCACAGGAAAATTACATCTTGCAATAAATTTTTTTTCAGTTTTTTTCAGTGACAGACTACAGTTTATAGCCCACTGCCCATTCTTATAAATAAAGTTTTATTGGCACACAGCCACACCCACTTATTTACATATTGCCTGTGGATAATTTCCAGACACAAAGGCAGAGTGGAGGACGCTGCAGAGCTTTGTGGCTCCCAAAGCTAAAAATATTTACTCCCCAGCCCTGGGTAGGGAAAGTCTGCCAAGTGTTCATTTAGACACAGATATAACACTCCACATACTGTGCTTACTTGGAGGCTCAGGGCTAACTTCAATGTTGAGTTTTTGTAACTCACTCATCTTTAGCATGCTTTATTTCTCTATACCTGTTTTGAAGTTCTAATCCCACACTCACATTTTGCTTAAAAATAGCTAACATTTCTTGAAAACATATTATATACCAGACACTGAATTAAATTCTTGAGTGTGTATTCTTATTTAATTCTCACAGTAAACTTTGGAGGGAGGTAATATTATTCTCCATCTGCTGATGAGAAATAAATGGGAAAAAAAGTAAATGAAGTTATCAACTGCATAGAGGAAATATTTACTGTGACCTAATTCAATCTCAGATACACAGTAATACAAGGGAAACTTTGAGTGCTCAATAAATAGAGTTGGTGGTGCCAAATCAGGAGCTATCATCAATTCAAGCAGAATTATAGGATTATAAGGTGCTACTATTATGCTGAGATTCTTTCGGTTTTCCATGTAGCTTCAAACTAAGGTGCACAGACACTTCCTCATGAATCTTTCAGATCTGGGGAAAAACATAGTGAAGTAAAGTCCCAGCACACATGATGCAGGAATCAGAATTACCTGTATCAGTGCTCCCTGTGTGGCAGGGCCACCCAGCCAGGCCACCACAAATCTCATCAAGGCCCTGTGCTCCACACTCAGTGCTCTCCAGGAGAGCTGAGGCCACTCGTTTCTTTGGGATCCTTGCAAAGCTGACCTGCTGTTAAATGTCTACATCCTAGGCAACACTATCTGCAAATCAGAGGCCTCATACATCAATTACAGTTGAACCCAAATTTGTTTAAGTATATGTGAAACAATTATTTTTGTTTAAAAAAAAAAAAAAAAGCTTGCCTGTCTACAACCGCTAATCATCTCACACCTCAAACATGTTGAGGTTCGTGGACCAAGGAGGGGCAGGGGAGTGGAGGCTGACAGAGCTGTGCTCTCTCCGGAGACAACAAATGCCTGGTCCACACCAACCTTACCAGACTGTAAGGTTAACTGGCTCACTCCGGGATTGTAAACACCCCCCGCCCCCCAACGCACCTGCCAGGGATTGCGAGATGGGACCCACGACATTAGCACTGAGCCACATCCCAGACTCTGCCTGTTTTTTATTTTCAAGGTTGGCTCAAACTCACCATCTACCTGCCTCAGCCTCCCAGAGCGCTGGAATTACAAGTATGTGCCACCACACCCGGCTTAACCATCAGCTCTGCAGCAAGGCCAGCTGTGCACAGAACACGGGAGAAAGCATGAGTCATACCCCTTCTCACAGGTAGAGCCTCCCAGGTCCCGGGGACCTCAATAGAGAAATGAGTCCAGGGTGCTACGCCATCTTCAGGATTGCAGCTTCGGTGGGGAGAGGACAGGAGGCAGCCCCAGGGTGACAGCAGGTGCCACCGATTGCCACAGAGACTCTCGGGGAAAGTACCATGTGGGTAACAGGGCTCAAACGTGCCTTCTGCGGGGCCACAAGCAGGCGTGAGATGAGATCAGGCAACAGGCACCTGGGCTGTGAGCACAAGTGCAAGCTACTCAAACAAACAGGGAGAAAGAGAACTGCCTGGGGACCCCAGCCCAGCCCTGCCCAGCAGTAATGGGAGCACTGGGACCAGCCCCACACCACCCCTCAGCACTTCTCTCTAACTGGTGAGTCCCAGGGCCCCTGGGCCTGGTCAGCCTGGTGCTGCTAATTCCACCAGCCGCGTCCTGGTCTCTACACCTCTCATGCCACAGTAAGCGTTATCACAGTAAGAAAAATTACAGGTCCCTGTCAATGAGGGCACAAATGCCCACAGAAGAGGGGTGATCTGCGCAAGGTCACAGCTGTGGAGTGGGGGAGGCGAGAGCCACGTCTCTTGGTGCCAGGCGCTGCGGACCTGTGAGTGTGGAATCAGAACCTGCTCCAGTACCACCTGTGTCCCCAGGGCACTTGCTCATCTCTGCACGCTGCAGTGACTCCCGCAGAAGGCAGATCACGGGAACAGTGCCTCCCGGCAGCTCAGCTTAGAGGTGTGAACTACATCATGTCCGCCCAGCACTGGGCTGAACAGATGGTGACTGCACCACATCCACATCCACAGGCTGCAGCCTCCTCGCCTACCCTGTGTGGACCATACCCACTGACTTGTGGTCGCTCACCCACAAGGGGCAAGAGATAACCCCGACCACCACCACAGTGACAGTTCCAGGGAGCCACAGGATAAAGGCAGAAAAACAGCACTGCTGGCCCTGTGATAAGTGAGGTGCGGCCGCAGGGCCAGGGTGGACTGAGAAGGCAGACGGGAGGCCCACAACCCCTCTGGGACTCCCTCCCACAGTCATTTTCCTCGATGAAACCCCCAAGCCCAGGAGTCATTCGCCCCTGTGAGCACAGCCAAGTCTCCGGTGCCAAAAGTCTCCTGGGCCTCAACAGCCCCTCACCACCGCCCGGCCAAATGCGTAAACACAGCACCCACCGATCTCCCTAAGCTACAGGGCACTGCCCAATGGCACATGCTCTCTACAGCCTAGGGCTGCTCCCCAGTCCCATCTGATTCCATCCCTATATCTCTGAGACCCCAGGCTGAGTTCTTAAATGCTGTTTCTCCCAAAGGACAAAGAAGACGCCCAGCTCTCCCCGGTATCACCCTTCTGAAGATCCCACAGGGCAAGTCTGAGCTCCTCAGCTGAAGCGGTCAGCTCAGCAGAAAACACTGGAGAGTTCGAGGCCTCCCGCTCTGCTTCTCTTGTATAAAGGGTCTTTAGGGGGAAGTTATGTGGCCCCCAAAACCCTGAGTTTCTCAACTGTAAAGTGGGCACCCCCTACCACCCGGTGGGATTGTTCAGCCAAGTTGTGCAGAGCCCCCTTCCCTCCATCCTTTCCAGGCATGCAAAAGGAGTCCTGAAGAGTCACCATCTCACCAGGCTAACTGCAACGCTCTGAACACTGTCTCCTGTGTGCTGAGCCTGTGCATGGAAAACTCTTGCCCGTCTCGAATTGAATCACTCGCACAGATGACTGTAAACCTGCAGCGCACCTGGGAGTCATGGGCGAGGAAGTGCCCAACGCCCAGAGGACTTCGTTTCCCCCCGGAGGCCAGAAAAGCTGCCTGGGAAGGTGCTCCTGGCACGATGGGAGGAGGAGCCCACCCACAATCGGACGAGGCCCTGCCCTAGGTGCTGTCTTGGCAGTCAAGTGTCAGGCAGCCCCAGGTGACCTGAGACCTTGTGCCATGCAGTGGTGGAGCTGCCACTCTCCTTTGGGTGGCCCAGGACTAAGGCGAACCTGTCTTGGCATGATGTATCTCCAAGCCACCAGGCCAGACCTGAGAGGCCGGTCCTTCCACTTGCAGGCACAGAACAAACACTTGGCTCCTGCTAGCGAAGTCAGCAGCTCGCTCCCTACAGCTGGCAGGACGCACCTTTCCTTGCCTACTTCCTACCTTGCCCTAGTATCCCACAACCAGAGGCCCATGCCAAGCAGAGGTCCCAGTGCAAACGCTGCACTTCCTGCCTGCTCCTGCCTCTGCTCCGAACGACTCTGAAGGGCCAAGCAATGTCCCTGTGTCAAAGCCACCCCTCAGCTAGCACTGCCCCAGCCGTGCCGAGTGTCTACCATGTGTTCCCACATCAGTGTCCACTTCACCACCCTCCTCACTGCTGCAGTGAAGCAGGTGATACTTTCCTCATCCCTACTGAAGAAAGAAAGGCAGGCGTCATCACCAAGTTACCCAGGATGCATGTGTTAAAGATGCAAACGCAACACAGGGAGGTGCCACCCAAGTCTCACTGTACTGGACACATGGGCTTGCTGCTCCTGGCTCTAAGCATGGAGCCAAGAAACTATGCCCATTGAAATTCCAAATTCTTAACTCCTAGCCAGCATGTCTCCCTTCACCTCCTTGTGCAGCACAAGAGTGACCACGTGTCAGGGACTTGCCATGTGTTAGAGGCACAGATGTGTTCCAGAGGCCCTGGTCTCCAAGGCACATACTCACCATCTGCAAGGTAAAGCCAGATGCACGATCCAGGAAGATCCATGCAGGGTGACAGGAAGGACACACATGTCAGAACAAGAAAAGGGGCAGCTTCCAGGAAGGACCTTCCCAGTTCTGCCTCCCCCCAGCTCCTGTGAAACACACACAATTGAGCTTATGAAAGCCCAGTTTCATTGAACACCAACAACATCACAGCAACCAGCAGTCAGGATAGTGTTGCCAAAACCTGGCATGCAAAGGACACACGCAAGACGCTTCACAGGGAGGAGACGCACCTTACGTTTCAGAGGGACCCCAAGGGAGCTAGCAGAGACCTCACAAAACATCCCCATCCAAGGCAAGGTCGGAGAGCTCAGCCCTCGTGGGCAGCTGAGGTCAGGTCCCTCGTGGGCATCCAGGCTGAGAGACCCCATGGGCACTCTGCCGCTGCCTTCCTGAAAACACCTTCAGCATCCTGATAAGCACCCGTGAGTCTACTTCCAGGATGCGAGTCTGACAGTATCATTCCCCCAGGCAGCTGAATCTCACTGTAAATCCACTGGGCTCAGAAAACCTTCGAGTACAACTGGCAGGCTCAGCAGTCTTGAGGGCATCTTTTTAATCTCCTTTGGATCCAAAGATCAGGCCTGGAACAGGGAAGAAAGAAAGAACGGTCTTATTATAATCGTTGACCCCAGAGTAGCCAGGCCTCTTTCCCTCCTTGTGTTTGACCCTAGAAATGAAAAGTGACTCCCCACAGCTCTGGTTCCCAAATACAGGAGGATTAGGAAGCAGCGAAGCAGGGTGTCTTTGGGCAAATGTGCTTCCCACGACAAAGCAAGGGCCTCTCCAACCCGGACTCGCAAATGTGTCCAGAGAATGGCTGGGCTGCAGTGCCAGGATGCAGATTAACAGGGACATCAGATGACAGGGAGGCCAGGCTAGCCTGAGCAGTCCCAGCAGGGAGCTGAGAGATTTAGGTTCAGCTGACCAGAAGTTGTGTTCTGCTTTGCTTCTTTTTAAAGACAACCACAAACCCTCCAGTGCCTCTAGGCTTTCCCCTGTGCAGAGAGCTTCTCACATGTCCACTCCACACCTCTGGAGCCCCGGCAAGGTACCAAGTGCCATTCCAGTTACAGGTGAGGCCTATGTCTCCTCCACCCGACGATAACTGGAGACCAGTCCATCCATGGCAGCCAGGGCGAGAGGCCTGGCATTCCCCAGCCACGCACTGATGCAAGAGCTGCCCTCCCTCTGTGGGCATCTTAACCGCTCCCCACTGGAATCGCTGGCATCCCACCCAGTGCAGGCACCCAACCACCCAGGGCTTCTTGCCCTCGTTCCCAGATGAAGATTTTGGGGCACAATGACTTTGCTTCACACAGGAAGGAAGGAGCCTGAGCTGAAGCTGGGCCATCTCTCTCCTGAGTCAGGTGAGTCTTGACCCATCACTCTGCATCATCTTGTGAGGCTGCCTATCCAGAATGGCTGTACCGTACATTTAGTCTGACATCTCACGGGTATAAAACCATCACAAAAACAACAGCTTATAAACTCTTCTTGAGTTTAAAAATGAGACACGTGAGTTCCAGACACTAAGCACCTTGCCCAAGCTCACAGAGCTTTTTGCTAAGCAGAGAGTCATCAGCAGTGTGAATCAAAGGTCCACGACTTTGGCCATCACCCCAGCTTCCATCAGTAACAACTAGCGCCACCAAAACAAATGTTCACAAAGGTAAAGGTTTAAAACATGGCACGTTTGTATCTTACAGTCCTGGGGGTCAGCAGTCAGACACAGGCCTCACTGGGCTAAAAGCAAGGGAACAGTACGGCTGCGCTCCTTTCCAGAGCCCCCGGGAGAATCTATTTATGGTCTTCTCCGATTTCCAGAGGTTGCTCTTCTGCCTTGGTTCTTGGCCTCCTTCTCCCTCTTCAAATCCAGCCCCACACTGCTCTGCCTGCTTTGCCATCAGGCGGTCTCTCACTTTATTTCCACGTTCAGGACTGGTGGTGGCACTAGGCTCCTCCCAGAGGAGGCAGAAGCGTCTCCCCATCTGGAGCATCCCAGCCTTGATCATACCGGTAGGGTCCCTCTTACCACATGAAGTACGGCATCCATAGGCCCAAGGGATTAGGACAGGGACATCTTTGGGGCCACTACTAGGCCCACCAGCAGAGAGCATCCTTCCGCTGCCCCAGGCATCCTTCCTGATGAGCCGCTGCCACTCTCAACATGGAAATCTGGAACCCTCCCCACAACCCAGCCCAGGGCACGCACACACGCACGGGCTACGGTGGCCAACGAGGAAAGCACAGAGGAAACAGGATGTTTTTCTTCTTAAAAACATCCACATGCTGCTGCCCTTACAGCGCAGGCCCGCTGAGGTCCTCGGACACTGGCCACACAGGGCTCACGCCAAGGTGGTAGCTGTTCTAGGAGTCAGCAGGGCACCAATTGCCAAAGACATTTAGGAGGTCAGTGGTAGGCGCTTCAGGCAGTATCTTACATCACGAAGGTGACTCCTGGAGGTGGATGAGATTTCCCACTGCACAGACAAGGCTGCTGAGCCTCAGGCTCCAGGAGACAGAGCCTCTGCATCCAGGTTGGTTTTAGTGCCTAAATATGGGCTCTCTCCATTCTGAAACACACCCTCTAAAAGAGGGCTTCTAGAATGTTCTGCTGCTGGTAGTGGTCAAGTAGCACCTGGTGGGCCAGCTCTCCTGTGGATAAGTATAAACTCTGCAGTACTGAGACTTTTTTTTTTTTGGTACCAGGAATCAGACCCATGACCTCAGGCTTGCCAGGCAAAGGCTTATACCACTGAGCTACATCCCCGGCTTCAGTACTGAGATTGAACTCAGGGTCTTTGCACTGAGCTACATTCCCAACTCTTTCATTTTGAGACAAAGTCTCATGAAGCAGCTAGCTTGCCCAGGCTGGGCTTCAACTTGTGATCCTCTTGCCTCAGCCTCCCAGAGAGCTGAAATTACATGCGTGTACTGCCACACTTGGCTGTACAAAATATTTCAAAAAGAAGATGGGGGTGGGGAATGAGAGGACGGGGAAAGAAGGAAGGAGGGAGGGAGGGACCCTAAATGCAGGACATGCTGGAAGGGATCTGTATGCCATTGGCATTCCCACAACGGCCTCCTTTTGGTCACTGAAAGCCTAAAGACAGGCCCAGGTCCATACCAGGCAGGTAGCTGAAACTTAGTGGTTTTGGCAGATTGAAGAATCGGGACACAGATCAAGGTAACACAGCATCAGAAAGGGAGAGCAGAAATCCTGAAAAAGGGAGACCTAGAAAAGAAAAGCCTTGAGTTCGGCATATGCACAGCCGCCTGCACCATGGAGCAAGTCCTGAGCCCAGCGTACACACTCCTGACTGAAGCCGAAACTAACCAGAACTCCATTACTGCCCGCCAGTCAGACAGGGTTTTAGGTTTACAAAGTGATGTTTCCCAAGTTATCAAATTCAAACATTTACTAAGTTAACTGCTCACTGAAAGAGAAAATCAACTCTTCCAAGCAACAAAATTCAGAGTCCCTACAATGTGTCATTCGCCAAGTTTATGACACAATTAAAATTAACTCAGGATAACAAATAGCCAAAAGGGGAGGGGATGGGGGGTATAAGATCTATTCTTATAAGAAGAACAAGCCAAGGTGGAGATCATACCCATGTTGCCAAGATGACCAAGCCGCTGGAATTAGCAGACAAGGATTTAAAGCACCGACAAACTATGTCTAAGGAGTTAAGGGACATTATGTTCTTAGTCCGTGAGCAAACAGGAAACCTCAGCAAGAAAGGAAAAACTAAGAAAGCCAAATGGACATTCTACAATGAAACGCCTTGAACAGTCGCTGTTATTGGGTGTATGTAACAGCGAGCACACTGGAGAGGAAAGATGAGTGAGTATGAAGAGGGAGGACAGGGAGGCAGGAACACAGTCCTCGGAGCCCACACCATCCTCGCCCGGCTCAGTTCTCTGTTTCAGGCCAGTGTGTGAGATTTCTCCTGCCTGATATCACAAAGAAGATATCCACTCTATCTCCTCCTGAGGAGGGATGCGGCAACCAGCTCTGTCTTATGTCCATGTCACTTCTCTGCACCCCACAAGCAACACCTGTTGCCCTGGAAGATGTTGTACATCCAACCGCCTCTGCCCAGAGATGGCGGCCATGCCCGTGACAGGCTCTGCTACAGCTCCGTGTCCTTCCTCCCGCACGTGTGCTACGGGACACGCATGAGGACTGTGGTGCTCCCAAGCCCGCCAGCACGCCCGTCATGCTCCCAATTCCGCTTCCCAGGGAGGACGCCGGGGTGGGGCCCAGGTACAGATAACCCAGAGTTTGAACCCCATGCTGGGTCATGGTCCTGTGACCTCAGGCACATTTCAGCTCTTGTGTTTCCTCATGTTTAATAAACACACAGAACAAACCTGTGCGTCCTCTGAGGATCATCTGCGAGTGAGAGGATGAACAGACCAGCGCTCAGTAGCACTACGGAGTCATTGTCCTCCTCCATAGGTGTCACCCCTGAGCATTGAGCTTGGGAAATGGGAACCGAAGTCAGGCCGGTTCGGTCAAGTCACAGAGGAGGAGGAGGAGGCGCCAGCACAGACCAAGCCCCTCCTGCAGCCTCTACCCTGCGCTGGGTGCGGGACCTGCGCTCAGCTCAGAATGCACTCAGCTGAGAGCTGCCATGCACAAGCCCTGGCAGTCCACCAACAGTCCTGGGCCTCCACAGGGGCTCAGCCAGGGGTGGCCAGAAGAGCGCTCCATAAATCACAGCTACATACCGAGTGCTTGCGCCACTGGCCACAGAGATAGGGCCCGGAAACCACAGTAAATAAGCAACACACGGTCCAGCCCTCAAGGGGCTTTTAGCTGCACAACGAAATCCAGAGAAGTGAATGTGCAGACAGCACATGTTCATAAACCAGAGTACTTGGCGACATCCAGATGACACGGTAAGCTGGCGGGGGCTTATGAAGAAAAGGGGAGGCCAGACCTCGCTGGACATGAGACCCGCTCAGGTCAGCACACACGGCAACTTAAATACTCAGGTTCAGTTTTCCTGCTGAACAGCTAAGAAAGGCCAGAGAGGTACAGTGACTTGGCCAAGATCGCCCAGCTGAGGCCTGTGGATGTGGAGAAGAAGCCGTGAGACAGATGCCTGGCACACACGAGGATGGACGGAGCTGGCTGGCCTGAGGCATCATCAGCCAAGGGCAGCTTGACCAGAAGCCCAGCGGAGGGGTGAGACCCACACCTCCCACCCACACACTCATTCCAGCAGCACGGGCTGTGTTAACCCTGGTAACCTCCAGCACTGCTGTAAGACGGGTCTTCCACACAGACACAGATGGGACCACTGCAAGCCAGGGGCTCAAGGTGTCCTGGGAGTGAGGAGACAGAGTGGGAACATGAGCCTGGCGCTCAGCCTCCGGGGCCTTTCTGCTTCACCACTCACCTGTGCTGCCTTGAAGGACAGTGTGGAGTGAACGACAAGGGCTGGGTGAAGCTCCTAGAAGAAAGGATGAAGGAGCAGGGGCTCCGCTGCTAGAAAAGGTTGGGCGCAAACTCCAGGGCCAACGGCAACATCCCCTGGCAGAGTGGTACCGGCAGGCAAGAACAGGTCCC